TCTCCTCTTAGAAACACTTCATGTCTAAAAACTTTTAAGAAAGACCTTAAGACTCATTTGTTTAAACTAGCTTTTGAATTATAATTTATATATATTTTACAGCGCTTAGAGCCGACTTGTATAGGCGCTATATAAATCATATTATATTATTATATTATATTACGATACGAAGACTTCCGGYGTGACCTCGGGTCGGTTGCTGAAAGAAATCCGTTGAACTGGTGTACAGTGAGCTCCAAGTACGGGTCAGAACAAGCGAGGTAGTATGTGAATGCAGGCAAATTTCATGGCTTAAAGACGCGAAGACTAATCTCTAATGCGACTTTCTCGGTTCTGTAGGGATGTGAGAGAAGGGTCATGACTAAAATTTGGCGCTGGTAAGAAAATTCGAAGACGTACGAGGTTTCAAAGACTCGTGATGGCTCGCTTTTGGATCCCGAGTTTCCAACCTTCTCTTATTTCTTACTGGTGGGGGAAAAAAATCCTTAAAACGGGCTAAATTCAAAAAATAACCACGCAGAGCGAAAGAAGTGCTATTTCTCAATGATAGGGTAAAATTTCGAGGCTTTATTTCACGTTTTGATGATTTTATTGAAATGTTTGACGATTCCCCATACATTTCCTTATAACAGGACACCACAGAAACCAAGCTTGGGCTACCTGTGGACAAACTAACTCTCAAAGTCCCCAAAACAAACGTGTCTGACGTCACAGATAAAGTCCCGTATGTGACAACCGGAAGTGGCTGTTGCTAGGCAGGTTCTAGTCTAATATATGACACAAAAGGCATACTTGAACGTGAAAAAGGCATACTTGAACTTTTGACACTTTAATGCTGTCACAGTAAATGCTGTGAAGATTCCAGAAATATTGAGTTAGTATATTATTTTTATCTAATGAATATTAATGGTAATGATATATAGGAGGAGAGAGTATTCCAGTTGAAGAATCCAAGCCTGAAGATGCTGCAGAATACTACCAAGGGTATATTCATAAATCCACAATATTAGTTTGTAAAGTAATATTTGAGTGTTAAAGAAGGAAATTACTCCATCTTACCATTTAATAGGAAGTTTTCAATTTTCACACAATTTTTGTGGCTATAACCCGCAGCCAAAAAAATTTTTTCTCTTGATCCCATCATCTCTTGATACCATCAATCAAAATCAATCAGCTGAAACCTTTTATGCTTTTAACTTGTTTCATTAAAAACTAAATTCCCATTGGCCACTCACAACTACTGATTTTGGAAAATATTGAAAATTGAAGTAAAATAATAAAGAATATGGTCCTTTATGATCCACCTTTTATGTTGTAGTTTGCATAGTTTTTTTTGTTTTTGTTATGTTAGTAATGACTGGGCATTGTTTGACCGTATCCGAGGCCAGGACATAAAACTTCTTAAAGAACTTAAAGTTGGTTATATTTTTGACCTGATGATGGAGAAGAAAAAAGTCAAGTATGGAATGAAGTATGTTTATTTCCTTGTTGTCATATCAGTCATATGTAACATATTTCTTTTAATTCTTTTTCCATTTCACGACATTATTTCTGTTTACTCTGCTTCTCTTCTCTTCCTTCCTTCTTTCTTTCTTTCTTTTCCTCACATTTCACTTCCCTTTCTTCCTATATCTTCTAACCAAAATAAGTATTGATTTCCCCCCCCCCCCCTTTTATTTAATCGCTTTGGCTTTCCCATCCTCTTATCTCATCTATCCTTTTCCTTTGCTTCCCACTTCCCCCATCATATTATTGGAGCACTGGGGTTAAGAGTGAGATGTCAAATTCATCAGCTTTCTGCTTCCAACAAGAAGTAGGTATCATTAATAAGAAAATTTAAAAGCAAAGTGTATATTCTATTTTATATAATTATTTCAACAGTGTAACCTCATCAGAAAAGGTAGACAAGGCTAATCGTTATTCAGACTTCTGTCTGTGTTGTGTTCCATACCCTGGATGTGAATTCTTCAGGGATTTTAAAGGAAAAGGTTACAGTGCCGATGGATTGTATTTTGACTGGAAACAAGTAAGATATAACCTTATTAATTTATATTAAGCTTATTATTGTTATGTGGTTAACTTGTCCTTGTATTTTATAGCTCTTTTGTGCATGCTCTCTAGTTGTCACTTGGCCACATAGTTTGCTCTACCATCACTGTTGCATTCACTTGCGTTTCTCGCTTTCGCCCCACCCTCCCTTTTCTGGGGAGTAGAGATAGTAGGTATAAACCATTCACTGTGCATACAGTGTGACAGGTGCTGACGTTAACCTGCTGTGGAGGCCGCTATGGTCATCTTGCTTGTTGCTCTCCATTCTTTGAAGTGAAAAGTTAACCAACATAAGAGTTTTTGGGGAAAGGCAGGAGAATTGGACCCAGGGAAACCACAGCTGTATCCCTACCTCCTGCCCCCTGGGATTTCCATCCCTATCTAGTAGCAGTACTTTCCCCACCCCACTCCTACGGGATTCACTTTGGCATTGTGTAAAGGTGCGTGCCACTCCACATTTGCCTAAGGCTGTCAAAATATTTAGAAAAAAGAAAAACTGTGCTTACCTGAAATTAATGGCTATAAATTTTATGTTTTATAGGACTATGTCGATGCTCAGATTACTATACCAGAAAAAATACACATTCAACTTGGAATTGAATGGAATCGATACAAGGTATACTGAATACATGTCAAAATGTTGATCAATTGTTGTAGCATACATGTTCTGGTCTGACTAACACAACCCAAGGTGTCTGGGTTTTTAGCTTCCATCAAATGAACCAAGACTATTAACCCATACTATTGGTTGAGGTTGGATGTTGAACTTGATGTGTATATACATTTACTTTATCATATGACCCGTATGTACACGGGCACGCACTCTAAAAAACCTTCAGGAAAATGACGTGAGCAGGGCCGTACGAATCAATACGGCCCTCCTTGAAACCTGTTACCATATTTTCTTTCTTTTATTTTATTATTTTTCTTTTCATGAGGGTCATATGATAAAATGCAAGCTTATTGACTGAGTTAGGTCGGGCCGTATGGGAAAATATTTGGCTCTCGGTCAATATTTGTAAGGGGGGCCTTGCTGCGCTCGGTCCGTACGGCATCACCTCAAGCCAAATATTTTCCTGTACGGCCCTCCCACTCAGTCAATAACTACATAGTATTTATCAAGTCCATCCTTGGCTTGCAGCCATTGTTTTGGGTCACTCAAGTAAATTTGCAAAAGGTCTATATGTGTGCAATATTGCATGTCTCTAATGAAATGGGAAGGGAAAAGAAAAAGGGGAAAATGGGATAGGGACGGGAAGAAATTAAAAGAATGTGGTGGTGTTTGGGGAACAGGGGGAATCATGAAAAAACAAAAAATGCATGAAATGTTGAACATTAGATTGAATTACATTGATTGTAGTATCACATATCTGTCCTGTTTCTTTTCCAGGGCTGGGATTTAATAATGTTGACTCAAAACTATTTGCTACTTCTTCTAAATTTTATCAAAAATGGTAAGTTTGATTTTGCTCCTCTTTCTGCTGATCAGAACTCCACAAGTTAACTAGACAGTACCATATATTTTGACAGTATCTGTATACTCTATGTTTCCTCATGGAATTTAGCTGTGTACTAATAGAGTGTGTATATTAACATTGTTAATTAAATGTGATTGGATCTTTTCTTCTGGTCTTGCAGGTGACAGTGGTACATTAATCCACTGCATTTCTGGCTGGGACAGGACACCTCTCTTTGTCTCTCTTGTTAGACTCTCACTCTGGGCAGTAAGTATACATTATCCTATATTATATCATCATCAATAACAACACACTCTCTTAGGTCATGCAATGCTATGCCACTTATAGACAAAAATCACAAAATTTGACAAATTTTTGCTTTGATGAAATAAAAAACTTTTTGGTCGACAAGAAAGGTTGACTTGGGGCAAGGTTCTGCCATTTTCCCCAGGGTGGGGACTCCCTTATAAAAGGGGGCGGGGGTCCTCGTCAGAAATTCCGGAAATGACCCCTAAAAGGGACCTGTATTTTGGGATGATGGACGTGACAGTGATGAAATTTCTCCCCTAAGAGGGACCAATCAATAACACATTTTTTGTTTGGTTTCTCGATTTTATTTGCATCAAACGTCGTCTGCTCTAACGAGTTTATGACGACGTCGTCATATACAAATTGCTTGCCTTTTTGTAGTTTTGTTGTTGATCTCATACCCTAAAAGGGACCACGAAATTCAGTTGGTGCGCATTCCCGTCGTTATCACCCTAAGCGGGACCAAAACCCTGATTTCAAACCCCAAAAGGGACGACGAGGACCCCCGCCCCCTTTCATAAGGAAGGCACCCCCCCCCCCCCGGGCCATTTTCACCAATGAAAGATTGTCAAGCAACATTATCTCAGGCCTGGAGTGGACAGGACTCTTAAAAGGGGGCCAGGATTCATTGTCCTTCACTTTTTATGGTTGAAGTGACATTAAAAGGTTTGGGAGAGAAGAAAAAAGGATGGGTTTTGTTTGCACCTTTAGACCATCCCTGGTGATGAGTCTGAGGCTGATTTACCAGCTAGAGATCCATGTTTCATTGTATGCTCTTTCATTAACTTTGTTTTAAAAATAACCGTGTGTTTAGGATAAGAAGATATAACTAGCTAAAAACTAGTGTGAGCTGCGTCGGTGTTTTCTCTCATTGGTTTCTTTTGTCTTATTCTATCATATATACACTCCTTTCTACCACCTCTTTCTCTTTTACTCCGACGAAGGACTAGCGTCCGAAACGTCAGTAAGTTTTTTCATCTTTTCACGGTGTATAATTTACCTTTTCATGWGTGTTTAGGATAAGAAGGCTCATAAAAATCTCAATGCAGCAGAGATTCTGTACTTGACTATTGCATATGACTGGTTTTTGTTTGGGTAGGTATAATTGACTACTTGCTTTTTTGCCAATCACCTCATAAATATATCACCTCATGAAAACTTAATTTGGACGTAGTCTTTTCCCATTTCAAACCACATACCCTGGGGTATTGTTTCTTTGTTTAATGGCTGTGCATGAGAAGACACATGAATATGAATACAACTCAAGCAAAGAATCTTATTCTCTAGAGAATGAAACGAAGTCTGAACTTAGAAAACATTACGCCCAGCTAAAGATTCTATTACAGACCTTTAAGTGGGTTGTAACTTATGATAAGTTTATTTATTCTTGTTAGACATGACCTGGCAGATAGAATACAAAAAGGAGAAGAGGTGAGTATTTCATAACGTAGTTCTTGGCATGAATTTAAGCCTGGCTCACAATAGCAACGTATCCACAAGGAATGGAATCGTTTGCGTTCATACCCTTCCTAAACCAGTGAAAACGCGAATGCAAATGTAAAACCAAAGTGTTTTTAATTTGATGCAAACAAGGTCTACTGCTCTTGCGTACCTTAATTTTACTGCATTTGCGTGTCAAGTGTGAACATTGCTTACGCTTACATCTTTGTGTAAACCAGGTGTTACTCTATTGAATCAGATTATATGTTATAACATATACACAGTCCATGTAGTGACTCAAGGTTTGAAATGTTTTTGAATACTATTTTTTCTAGGTTTTCTATTTTTGTTTCCATTTTCTAAAGTACATTGGATCAGATGTATTTTCTATGAACTCCTTACAGCAATTCAAGTAAGTATGTAAGCAAGGGATCGTACAATTTGCAGTCTAAAAGTAAACTAAAAAACTAAACTTTGAAATTTGTAACGCGCCTATTTCATATGCAGTGCTCAAATGCGTAATCCAATAATTTACATCTTGGCTCTTCTAGATCGAATTAGAATTTAGCGGTGTGTGTTTTTTTTTTTGCTGAGGGAGGAAAACCTGAAAACCCGGATAAAAAACCCTCGAAGCACAGGAGAGAACCAACAAACTCTACTTACATACGACGAGTCCGAGGAACGAACCCGGGTCGTATCGGTGAGAGGCGACGCTCTCATCGCTACGCCACCCGTGCTTCCCTAAAGGCGTTGCGACACAAGCTGCAGAGAAAATTGCTCCGTGTCGCGATTAAATAAGGTTTTGATGGACGTCAATCAAAGTGTTTCCATGGTATTGTAAGAAAACACAAGTTTTCAAGGGCACGTGCCTATAGAATGTCTGGAAACCGTTTGATTGACGTCCAACGAGACCTGCTTCGTCGCGACGACAGTTCCGCACTTGCTCAACTCTTATTTAATGGCTACTCGCTTAATAGAAGTTGAAATTCAATGTTTTTTTCACTCTCAGGGATCAAACTATTCCAAGTTCTGTAACAAGACCAAGATGTGATTCTGGAGTACAGTTTGACGGTGCTGTCTTGCTGGGTAAGCCGAAGAGCTTCAACGATTTTTTCATAATATAATATCTGAGATATACAATCGCACTCGCGCTGATTATTAGGACATATAACCTGGAGAAAAACCCTCAAAGCACAGGAGAAAACCAAGCAATTCTAGTTGCATAAACATGATAATTAACCCACGATAAGGCAGCGCATTAGCACTGAATGAAAAAGTATTGAATTTTAAACTGATTATTTTTTTATTACAGAGCAATGGCGCGGTGAAGGCAGTAACACGAGTCTTAATAGCTGTGGTAGTGGTAGTGGTTGTTCTGAGCCACGTCTTAGTTATTTTATTGGTCAAGAGGTTCCTGACGTCAAACAAGCTTCTCTTAACTCGACTCACTCCACGTTTACAAAGTATGTTGATTTACATTTACAGTACCTCTCAATAGCACGCGCGGAAGTAGGTTTTAGTGGACGTCAATCAAGGCTTTCCAATCACACGCAAAATCGTACGATTTACCGTCGTGACAAAACATTTAGAGTTTTGGTGGACGTTTGATGGATGTGTTTCCATATTATTGTCGGATAACACAAAGTTTTCAAGGTCACGTGCCTATATAATGTATGGAAACGCTCGAAAGTGTTTAAATGTAAAATGTTACCAATTTTATTGTGTACCAAGCGATTCTAACTACATAGGGTTCAAATACTAAAACTGATGTAACATTGATGATTCCAGACTCTAAATTAGTACAAGACCTTCTCTCCCTTCCTCCTAAACAAATCTGACATGCAAAAAAGTACACTTTTCATTTTTTCTTTTCTCCCATTTTTCCCCAGTGGAGCATCAACGCCCAATACTCATTCTTCCCAGTCGTCTCTTAACTCTTCGCCTCGTTCAACTCTTTCATTTACAAATGGCTGTGACCAAGAGTCTGACGTCATAGCACAGTCCACAAGCCCTTTACCTGTACCTAGAAGATCAAGGAAAACATCCATGAACTCTGATCACGTGAGTTAAACCCACCACCTAACCTTTACCACTGCATTGCCTTTTGGGACTGTTTAAGGGACATGTTTTTAACAAGGCGTCCCTCGATGCACTGCAGTGGACACGGCAGAAAAACGACAAGCCCGCTACCTTCACGATTTTTTTATTTAACTGAGTTTAATACTTTTTCATTTGTGTTACTGCTGCTCGAAACTTGTGACGAAAGTTTGTCAAATTAGAGCAAAGGCTACTTATTAGTATTCACGAAAATGTCAGTTTTTCCGCTGATCAAAATATCACCTCCCCCAAAGTACACGACCTTATATCTCAAATACGCAGTCAATAAATTTTGATCGCATTTGATATTTTGCTATTTGGCTCCAAAAGAACGTGTTTACAAAATATTGAGCTTAAATACGTAAAGATGTCCTTATGGCGAAAGGCCAAAAACCGTTTTTCTGCCGTGTCACTGCAGTGCTAACTCCACCCAGTTTTGTTCTCAACCTCAGAATGGCTAATTCTCTTCAGTTTCATTTTCGTGTTATTTGTCTTTGAACCTTTGATTCAGTTATTTATCATCGTCTTCTTTTACAGAGATCATCTTCGTCTTCAATTTGTGGAAGGTAAACCACTCTCTTTTACTGTAGAATTGTGTGGAATAAAAACAATGAAAACTAAAGTATTCTCCACATCCTGATTATTTTCCATTTCAGACCACGTGTCATTCTCTTGAGAATAAGGTTCTTTGAGTTGTATCGATATGCATGTGTCTTCTCATGCACAACCGTTAAACAAAGAAATGATACTCTTGGGAATGACACGTGGTCTGTGGAAACATCAATTACAAAAAAAAATCTATTAGGAACTCAAGATTTTGAATGTCGATCTATTCTCTGGTCGGGGTGTTGTTTTGCGAAGCCTAAATGTGAACAACCTTGGTTTCCATCTTTCTATCAACGGACTAGCTGTCCTAGAGCGGGTTGTCGTGTAATGTAATAAAGAATAGCATGCCTGACTGTGTTTATCTGGTGTTGCAGTTGGCAGCTGGTGTCAGGCACAGGTAGCCCAAAGGGAACTACCACAGTAGGACATGGAATCAGTACTAACAGTCTGTAAGTTTGTATTGTTGATAACAAGTCTTCTTCTCATGTAACTCGATGGTACGGCATCGGGTGATATTGATGATGATGATATTGATGATGATGATATTGATGATGATGATATTGATGATGATGATATTGATGATGATGATATTGATGATGATGA